TATCCAGAGCCTTAAAGGACCCGTGTGTGAAATTCACAGAAATCATAGTAAAAAGATCCGACTCTTTAGCACCACGCAGTTTAGAGTCGGTATTGCAGCTATTGGAGCCCCCGAGGATCAAAAAGGGTTTTTTTAATCATTATTTAAAACTTTATTAACAAATATAACAAATACAATACAAAATCGTGTTGCTGTAAACGGCAGCATGTCATCATCTAATTCCAGCTTTCAAGTCAGCGAACAGGTTAGTTGTTTTCATCTAACTTATTTTATTAATTTAATCTAAATAGGTTTTGAATAAGAAAAACTTTTTAATGTCAGTTATGTTTGCTAATAGCAAACGGCAGCTAGTTAGTGATGACTTCTGACTACAAAAAATGACAATATTTTGTTCATTTTATTTGAGAAATGTTATATTTCTATTTGCCATTTTGGAAATATACAAGGTAGTGTAGTCTGTAATTGTTTTCTCTCCGTAAACAGAGTCAGATATCATCCGATGGTTCATCAGTGAAGACAGACAGAGGACGAGGGAGAGGAAGAGGGCGAGGAAGAGGGAGAGGAAGAGGGAGAGGACAGACGTGTGCCAGCGCACAGAGAGGCAGAGGTGTTAGACATGCGACAGAAGCAGGGCAAGCATCCCAAGATGAAGGAGCCGAATTTGCTCAAACCAGCCGCAACGTTCCACGCACAAGAGGAAGAGGCAGAGCTGCAATAAAGTCTAGAAGATCGGCGCTTTCAAGCGCTTTCAAACTATCCCGTTTCTCAAGTTTGCTTGTAGAATATGTGTGATCCTCCATCGCTAGAAGTACGGTGTGGCTAGTTTCTTCTTCTTCTTAGTTACTTTGTCAGACTGCATGCTTACAAGGCGCACTTCTGCCCCCTGCTGTTTCTTTGAGGTTACATCATTTAAAAACGCAAACATCAAATGCGAAGCTTAATATGTTTGTAACCCGGTGTAAAACCCAGATTACAATAGAAACATCATTACATAATTAGAATGAATAATGAAATATAAATGGAAATTTACAAAACAGTTAAAACAGGATAAAAGACCAAATAAGATAAATAGAAATCTAAGCATTCATACATTCATAGTTTAAAAAAAAGAAAGAAAAGAAAATACAAACTTGTTGAAAATAGTCAAATAAGAAAAGCTAAAATCGAGTAAATAGAAAGTTCCAGTAAAATTCAGGTAGCAACTGACTAACCAATCACGTGGCTAGCCAGCTATTGCATCAGCCAATAGAATTTAGCACTTTCTGCTGCTCGCTACGCAGCTTTCACTTGCCTTCAGATGCGCTGAGACGCTGACGAGGAAGCACTTGCCGTGAAGAGCAAACTAGGATGCACTAGCAGCCGTTACTTGAAAAACAATTACTCCAAGTTCGGTAAGCGGATAAAATTTTCATGTTTAGGTACTGTTGCTGTGTAATAGTGACAAGTTATTTGTTACGCTGTAGAGATACAGAGGTCCGAAGACCGTGATTTGCCGTTACCCTTGGGAAACCCCGTGTAAACCAAGCTGACTTTTCTTGGTGAGTCTATTAGTGTGTGTGTGTTAATTCATGCTAAGCTATATTAGCCCCGTTGCTAACCTTCAACAGCCGTTAGAACTAACTTGGCACTTAAATATTAGTTCCTGCAGTTTGACCTTAACTGGAAAGATGGTTATAGATGTGGAGGTGATGAGTGTTTTAAATGACCAATTAAAACAATATTGCTCAGTTTATAAAATTGTGATATGAAAAGAAGTTGAAGCTTATTACAGAATTTCTTGTTGGAAACTCATTTCAACTGATTTATTGGTAATTTAGTGACTTCATTATCTTATGGTACCTACTTGAACTGAATTAATTGTTGTACAACGTGTGATTTAATTGTAAAGGAATTGATTTCATGGGACTAATGCAGATTGTAAACCACAGTTCAGCGTTAAAATATTGTATTCTGACCTTCTCTAGGTCAGGTTTTTTATTTTGGATTGATTCACCTCGGTGAATTGAAGATACTTGTTCCAGTTCTGGATGGCGAGCCCCAGCCCAACCGAACCATCAAGCCGGTGATTAACTGGTCTGTCACTCACCTGAACTCGACTTCAACCCAAGATCTGACTGACAAGGATTTCATGAACATTTGTCAAGCTGACTGACTGACTGAACAAACACAGACTGGTGACATTTCATTTTACTATTTTATTTTATTTCATTTTATTTTATTTCACAAAGCGCTTTGTTATATATTAAGTGGGTTATAAATGCTGGTAATAAACCATTGTTATATTTACCTTGCTTTTCCATGTTGTCACTCCACCACTTGCTCCTCAGAGTCTAGAATCTTTTGATCTGGTCCACTCGGTGTTAAACCACAAAGATTTTCATGTGAACCACCTCTAGTAAAATCTACGTAAGGTTACATAAGCTGGCAGAGCCAGCCAGGAGCATAAGGTTGTGAGACAACATTAAACATCTTTGAATAATTTTCACCCATAGTCAGTATGGAGTTTGTTGAGGAGAATGGTGTTAAAGTACCAAATGCTGTAGTTGTTAGTGGTGTTACCGGTACGGAAAGAGACAAAGAAGTTTACGAATTTCTGGAACAACATGGCTCTATTTACAGAACACTCACCATTAATGATAGCTCATCTGAACTTTACGGAAGTCAAGTCGTGGAATTTGAGTCTGGTGTAGCAGTTAAATCGTTAGCACCGGAATTGCCGTACCTCTTGTCCACGGATGATCCACGAGTCAGGTATCACATACAAGCTCTAAACGACGTGTACACTAGAACCATAGGAGGCAGTTTTACTGAAACTTACCTCAATGATCTGAAAGGCTTAGCTAAGCTGAGTGGAAAAGACTTTGAAGAAGTCTTGAAAGAAGTTATGTCCACCATAGGAAAATCTATTGAGTCCACATTGACAACAGAAACTGATCTTGAAAATAGGACCTTAGATCAAATTAATGTAATGGCTGAACCCAACATAGTAGCTGAACCCAGTCAGAGTGGAGTTTCACCTTTACACCAAACTAGAGTGTTTAGTTCACCTAAACCTATGAAGACAATCTTACAAAGCCCTCCTAAACCACACATTATCCCACCAACATTTACTGCAACAGATATTAATCCCCCAGAGATTCAGAAAATTGTAGTTGAACATGTGGTGAAAAATGTGGAAAAAATTTCCTCTACTCATGCAGCTTTAAGAATACGAGCTTTTTCTGGCAAAACTCCTAGACCCTACAGTGAGGCAGATTATGAAACGTGGCGTTCTCATGTTAGTCTAATGATTGACGATTCTTCTCTGTCTCAGCTAGACAAGACACGTAAAATACTTGAAAGCCTTCTCTCTCCTGCGTCTGATGTAATCCGCCCTCTCGGACCAGAAGCCACGCCGGCTGACTACATTGAGCTTTTGGACTCGGCTTTCGGCGCTGTTGAAGATGGTGAGGAATTACTTGTCCGGTTCATGAATACACTCCAAGATCATGGAGAAAAACCATCCACATATCTCCACCGTCTGCAGGTGGCACTTAATCTCGCAGTACGTAGAGGTGGTCTTGAGCCCCAGGAAGTGAACAAACAGCTTCTAAAACAGTTTAACAGGGGTTGTTGGGATGACACCCTATTAACAGAACTGCAGCTAGAACTGAAAAATAAAGATCCCCCTACCTATGCAGAGTTATTGCTTTTTCTTCGCACGGCAGAAAACAGACAAGAGGTTAAAAGCTCACGAATGAAGAGACACTTTAGTACCACAAAACCAAAAGCAGTTTCCCATGAACAGACCGTCATCGACGCAAATATAAGCGTAGCAGCAGAGTCAAGCTGCCTAAGAGAGCTGAAAAAGCAAGTTGCTGACCTGAAGAGCCAATTAACCGCAGTTATGAAGCAAAAGAAGTCAGCAACCCCAAAAAAGACAAAAGGTCCTGAAATTAAAAAACCTGACCATGTTAAACCCGAATATTTTCCCTCAACAAGCCGCCAAAGTACCAGACCCAAGCCATGGTACTGCTTCAGATGTGGGGAGGACGGACATATTGTAGCGACCTGTGAGTCAGAGCCAAATGCAGCTTTGGTAGAAGCAAAACGAAAAGAACTGAAAGCTAGAAGACAGATATGGGACAGTCAGAATGACCCACCTCCTTTAAACTAGAATCCGCCCCTGTTGTGGGACAAACAGAGGCTGATCCAGAATTCACAGGTCCCATCAAACCAAAACGAAATACTCCATCAAAAAAATGTGCCAAAATGAAGTCACATTTAAGAACAGACTCTTTCAGCCTTCCCTGTGGGCTGATTGGCACAAAAAGTACAGCTGAACTTAGAGTTAACGGTCATACAGTTAACTGTCTGTTAGACACTGGGTCCCAGGTGACTACTGTCCCTGAATCTTACTACCGACAGCATCTGTCGAATTACCCAATTAAGTCACTTCACGACTTGCTAGAAGTCGAAGGAGCCAATGGCCAACGTGTACCTTACCTAGGATACGTTGAGATGCATATCACTTTCCCAAAAGATTTCCTGGGCCTCGAAGCCGAAGTGCCGACACTCGGTTTAGTTGTCCCTGATGTGCGTGCAGCTGCCCAGTCCCTAGTTCTTATAGGCACAAACACGTTGGACGTGCTATATGAGCTACACCGTGATGCCTTTTCTGAACTGCCACCAACAATGCTACCTGGTTACAGGGCAGTGTTGAACGCTCTTGAGTTACGACACAGACAGTCACAAAACCGTAACCTTGGTTTAGTGACAATGCATAACAGAAAGCCACAGTTGGTCCCTGCAGGTAAAACTGTAGTGGTCGATGGCACTGTGGCAATTTCGGCCAATAACAGTGAGAAGTCTGTCCTATTGGAGTACCCATCAATGTCAGCCTTACCTGGTGGTATACTTGTTAAACCTTGTTTAATAGACTTACCTGAAAGAGCACCTTACCTTGTTCCTGTCGTGCTTACAAATGAGTCTGACCATGACGTGACAATCCCTCAGAAGTGTGTTATCGGAGAGGTTAGTGCATTCCAAAATGTCCTTTCTCAAGCACAATCCGCAGGACCCACCAGATCCAAAACTGAAACTGAAGTTAAGCTGTCGTTCAATTTTGAGTCTTCTCCAATTAGCGCTGAATGGAAGGAGCATATAACAGCAAAACTAAATCAGCTGCCCGAAGTTTTTGCTCAAAATGACTTGGACCTCGGAAGAACCAATCAGGTAGAACACACCATCAAACTTTCAGATGAAACGCCTTTCAAACACAGAGCTCGTCCTATACACCCAAATGACCTAGAAGCTGTTCGTAAGCATCTCAAAGAACTTCAACAAGCAGGTGTGATCCGAAAGTCAACCTCGCCTTTTTCTTCACCTATCGTAGTTGTACGTAAGAAAAATGGAGACGTTCGGCTTTGTATAGACTACCGAAAACTTAACAATCAGACAGTGAAAGATGCTTACGCCCTTCCAAATCTGGTAGAAACTTTCTCTGCTCTGAATGGTTCCAAGTGGTTTTCAGTGCTCGACCTAAAATCCGGGTATTACCAAATTGAAGTAGCCGAGCAAGACAAACCCAAGACAGCGTTTGTATGCCCCATGGGTTTCTGGGAATTCAATAGGATGCCTCAGGGAATTACTAATGCTCCTAGCACCTTTCAACGACTCATGGAGAAATGCATGGGTGACATGAATCTCCATGAAGTGATTGTGTTTCTTGATGACATCATCGTGTTTTCTAAAACACTTGAAGAACATGAAGCTCGATTACTGAAAGTCCTCAACCGCTTAAAAGAATATGGACTTAAATTGTCCATTGATAAATGCAAGTTTTTCCAGTCTTCGGTGAAATATCTTGGTCACATTGTGTCTAGCAGAGGAGTGGAGACCGATCCTGAGAAGGTAGAAGCCCTACGTACTTGGCCTGTGCCTTGTGACCTCAAGCAACTACGTTCATTTCTTGGTTTTTCTGGGTACTATAGGCGCTTCATAAAAAACTATTCAAGCATAGTTAAGCCATTAACTGACTTAACTTCCGGATACCCTCCTTTGCACAAAAGCCCAAAACATAAAGACAAGCAACATCAGTATCATGACCCGAAGACACCTTTCAATGATAGGTGGACTCCTTCTTGCGATCTTGCATTTAACGCCATCATCGAAAAGCTCAGTAGTGCACCAGTCCTGGCTTTTGCTGACCCCAAACTGCCTTATACCCTTCATACGGACGCCAGCACAACTGGACTTGGCGCAGCATTGTATCAAGAGCAGGATGGACAGCCAAGGGTCATTGCATATGCGAGCAGAGGCTTATCCAAAAGTGAGTCCCGTTACCCCGCCCATAAACTAGAGTTTTTAGCTCTAAAGTGGTCAGTTACGGAGAAATTTGCTGATTACTTATATGGGAACAAGTTTACGGTCATGACCGACAGTAACCCACTGACTTACATCTTGACCACTGCCAAGATGGATGCCATGAGTTACAGGTGGCTAGCTGCTCTGTCTACTTTTGACTTTAAACTCCAGTATAGAGCAGGTAAGCTAAACTCTGATGCCGATGGTCTCTCCAGGCGACCACATGGTGATCTACTCAATGATGCCGTGTCTCAGAAAGAACTCGATCGCATACAGCAGTTTACACAAACCCATCTGTCCGAGTCTGAAAGTAGTATAAGTCCTGAAGTAGTGTCAGCCATTTGTGAGAAACATCTCTCCTGTAGCTCTCACAGTGTTACCATTCCCTTGGTTCACTCAATGGCTATGTCAGCAGCTGCCATTCCAGATGACTTTGTCAATGAGACAGACTGTGGAGGGTTACCTGTGGTACCACACCTGTCTCCAGAAAAGATCATGCATGAACAACGCACTGATCCTTTGCTTAGAGAGGTTATAGCACAAATCGAGACTGGAGAGAAAGTACCACCGACGGTGCGAGCTGAACTTCCAGATATCAACCTTCTGCTCAGAGAGCTCAGTCGACTCGAAATGCATAATAACATACTATACCGTACACGCCAAGATGGAGGAAGTGTTACGTACCAGTTAGTCTTACCTGAACAGCTCCGCGATTCTGTTTTTAAAAGTTTACATGGTGATATGGGACATCTAGGCATTGAACGCACTTTAGATCTTGCCAGGACAAGATTCTATTGGCCTCGCATGGCAGCTGAGATTGAAAACAGGGTTAAAACATGCAATCGCTGTGTCAGACGGAAAACTTCTCCAGAGAAAGCAGCTCCACTTGTCAATATCAAGTCTACTCGTCCGCTCGAGTTAGTCTGTATGGACTTTCTGTCCATTGAGCCTGATCGATGTGGAAAAAAGGATGTGCTGGTATTAACCGACCACTTCACCAAGTATGCTGTAGCCGTCCCTACCTGCAATCAAAAAGCCCCAACTGTTGCAAAAGCACTTTGGGACAATTTCATAGTCCACTACGGGATACCCGAACGACTACATAGTGATCAGGGCCCCGATTTTGAGTCCTGCCTCATACAAGAGCTTTGTAAACTTATTGGTACTAGAAAAATACGGACGACTCCTTATCACCCCAGAGGGAACCCAGTTGAACGTTTCAATCGAACGTTATTGAGTATGCTAGGTACCCTGGAAGAGAAAGACAAGACTCAGTGGCACAACTATGTTAAACCACTTGTACACGCGTACAACTGTACCAGAAATGACACCACTGGTTTTGCTCCATACGAGCTAATGTTTGGCCGACAGCCCAGACTACCAGTTGATTTAGCATTCGGACTTCCCCTTCACTGTAAAAATTTCCAGTCACACTCTGACTATATAGAAAAACTCAAAGCAACGTTACAAGAAAGCTACAAGTTAGCAACCAAAAATGCTCAAAAGATGGCAGAAAAGAACAAAATACGATACGACACCCGAATAAAACCCTCTAGGTTAGGACCAGGTGACAGAGTCCTGGTTCGAGCAGTTCGTCTCAGAGGTAAGCACAAACTAGCCGACAGGTGGGAGGCTGACATTTATGTGGTGCTGCACCAAGCAGGTGACTTGCCTGTTTACACTATAAAGCCTGAAGCTAAAGAAGGCCCAGTTTGTACTGTCCACCGCGATCTCTTACTCCCTTGTGGGTTTCTTGCCCCTGTCAAGGAAGACCTTGTTCGACCCAGTTGCATTGGCAAACCAAGAACCAGGCAGTCCCGTAGTTTACCTGCTGACAGTGAGAACTTAGAATCAGAGGGTGAGGATGTCTACTGGTTCAGAAAGGAACCTGACCAAGAGCCCATAACTTTTACTGAGGTTCTAGAGATTCCTTGGCCAAGTAAGTGCCTGGAACGGCAGAATTTGGTAGAATCTCAAATAACCGAACAAAACCTACCTGAATGCGAAATGCGTACTCACCCTGGTAATTTACCAACAAGGGAAATGAGTACTGAACCTGGCGATTTACCTGATTGTCAAATGAAAACTCAACCTGAAAACTTACCTGAATGTGGAGCCATACCGGATGAAGGAAGCCTAGAAGGAAGCAAAACAGATGTGGAATCTGTAAATGATGAACTTAAGACGAAAACCAAAAATAACTTACCTGAAGGACCTACCTGCAGTGAACCTGAAGGAGGAGGAGGACTAGATGATGAAATAGGAAATCGGTTAGATACTGCGAGCGAAACCCCAAAGACTTTGAGACGCTCAGAAAGAGCAACAACTCAACCTAATAGGCTACAATACAGTAGATTGGGAAGCCCTCTTGTATCTATCGCACAGTCCTTGTTTCAAGGATTGAACTTAGCTTTCACAAGTGCATTAACTGAAGCAAATTCAAGCATTACACCTTCAAACACTAGCACACCAATAATTGAGGTCTAGCGATTCTATGCAAAGGGACTTGCATAATTCTAGAGGGGACAGTGTAACCCGGTGTAAAACCCAGATTACAATAGAAACATCATTACATAATTAGAATGAATAATGAAATATAAATGGAAATTTACAAAACAGTTAAAACAGGATAAAAGACCAAATAAGATAAATAGAAATCTAAGCATTCATACATTCATAGTTTAAAAAAAAGAAAGAAAAGAAAATACAAACTTGTTGAAAATAGTCAAATAAGAAAAGCTAAAATCGAGTAAATAGAAAGTTCCAGTAAAATTCAGGTAGCAACTGACTAACCAATCACGTGGCTAGCCAGCTATTGCATCAGCCAATAGAATTTAGCACTTTCTGCTGCTCGCTACGCAGCTTTCACTTGCCTTCAGATGCGCTGAGACGCTGACGAGGAAGCACTTGCCGTGAAGAGCAAACTAGGATGCACTAGCAGCCGTTACTTGAAAAACAATTACTCCAAGTTCGGTAAGCGGATAAAATTTTCATGTTTAGGTACTGTTGCTGTGTAATAGTGACAAGTTATTTGTTACGCTGTAGAGATACAGAGGTCCGAAGACCGTGATTTGCCGTTACCCTTGGGAAACCCCGTGTAAACCAAGCTGACTTTTCTTGGTGAGTCTATTAGTGTGTGTGTGTTAATTCATGCTAAGCTATATTAGCCCCGTTGCTAACCTTCAACAGCCGTTAGAACTAACTTGGCACTTAAATATTAGTTCCTGCAGTTTGACCTTAACTGGAAAGATGGTTATAGATGTGGAGGTGATGAGTGTTTTAAATGACCAATTAAAACAATATTGCTCAGTTTATAAAATTGTGATATGAAAAGAAGTTGAAGCTTATTACAGAATTTCTTGTTGGAAACTCATTTCAACTGATTTATTGGTAATTTAGTGACTTCATTATCTTATGGTACCTACTTGAACTGAATTAATTGTTGTACAACGTGTGATTTAATTGTAAAGGAATTGATTTCATGGGACTAATGCAGATTGTAAACCACAGTTCAGCATTAAAATATTGTATTCTGACCTTCTCTAGGTCAGGTTTTTTTTATTTTGGATTGATTCACCTCGGTGAATTGAAGATTCTTGTTCCAGTT